AGTCTTACAAGCGTTAGATGCCTGTCAGTGTGTCTGTCCGTCGAAACACCTAGTATTGTTGAGGATTATCGAATAGATAAGCGGCGTGACCACTAGATAGACAGAGTGGTAGACGATGGTACGTAGGAGCATAAAAAATTAGTTTGGTGGACGTACATTAGAGCCCATCGAGTCCATGATTTTTGTACTCGGCCCCGGACCCGGTTGGTTAAATTTTTTTGTACTTGGACCCGCTCAAACAAAATTCTCGGATCCGAATCCAATAATTAATTCTTTGTGATTCGGGCAGGAATCACACTCATTTGAGATCTATAATGCAAAATTCTAGTTCGGATTTGATAATCGATCCAAAGATAGGATATCCTTTTTTTTTCATTTTTTATAATATTGTAACTATAGACTGTAGTAAAGAACCAGATAATACTTTGTTTGGATTTTAGGTTCATAATAGTAATTTAATTTCGATAATATAGTCACGAAGAGTCATGTTATTTTCTGCTATTTTTTATAAATTAAATGATTGAATGTTAATTAAATGAAATGAATGTTTTTTGAATAAAAAGAACAGAAATAAACGAAAATAAAAATAATGGAATTATTTTTTATAGTGGATTTTTTTCTGGCTAATAAAAATTTATCCGGATCCAAGCCGGGATGGGCTCTAACGTACATACACACATTTGTGTATTGGTTTGTAGCGAACACCGACCGAAGGGAGGCGAGAGCGTTGTCTTTGATACATAGGTCACGTTCACAGTACGAGAGTTAAATGAGCTAAGACGAAGCTGATTGGTCAGAAAATTAACTCTGAATTAAATGCTGTTTCGGACATTATTTAACTTTAACTCTCCAGTCATAAATGAGCTTAGTAACGAGTAATATGGTTCCTTTAAACAACGAAGGCAGCGCCAGTTCTGTGAGAAAACAAACGTCTGACTCTCGACTCAATTTTGCTGTTTGAGTTTAAAAAGTCAACTGTAGAGCGTAAATTCAAATCGACAAGTAGAAATATAAAATCTTATTGGTGTATTAAAGGTTTAGATGTGAGCGTTCTTGAAGTTAACTTGGAGTGAACTCTGAAAAATTTGTAGTGTGAATGTAGCCATAGTCATCGAAGGTTGCCAGATATAAGTTCGTCGAGTCACGAGAATGAGCGAATGCAGACGAGTCGACTACGGGAAATCAGAATATGACTGTGAGTGATCTCTACGCTGGATTCTGTTGGTCGAAGTCTTCATTTCAACTTGATAGGATAAAAATGGTATCCCTTGAGTGTACAGGAAAGAGTCTTCTCAAGTTAAAATGTCTCTATATTTGTATGTATGTCCGCAGCCTAGATACTAGCGACACATGAATTATTAGCGGACAGACGGACACACTTATCTGCATCCTAACACACGAGACTAGTGAGCATATTGTGTATTGTGTGCCCTGGGGAAACTTCTGAGAAACGAGGGAAAATGAGGGTAAGTGTAGGGAAACTGGTAAATTTTGTTTGAGCATTTATAGTAATAATGCAGCGAGACAAGCAGTGGTGTGAAAAGTAGCTCCGATTATTTAATCGTAAATACGACTTTTTCCTTTCGAAATCTGACAAGAAATTAGTTTTAGTGCTGCGGATCTAATCTTATTATTGGTCTTCGAAATGAGAGGGATAGCGAGTAGTAAAGGAAGTCGCAGACCGCCTATCAAGACAGAAATGTGTGGTTCAGGACAGAGTAGAATTTCCGTAATTACATGAGCTAGGATAAGCATCATGTCTGTGAGGTGTATGACGAAAATAGCTCCACCTCATAAGTGACCATTAAGAAAAAACCGCTTCAGTGAGAAGAAAGTTCGGTCAGTTAGGGAATACACGTTGAAGCAAGCGATGGACATCGGCGATTCCTTTCCGGTCAAGGAATAAGTGAATCAGCATGATGAACGCTACTTCTTCCTTTAGAAAACGGATAAAATGCAAAAGTTACACGATAAAAGTTACATCTTCCTCAGCGCAAAAAATATTTTTTACAGTTTTCATAATCAAAACACACTTATAGTCGCTTTCTAAGATATCCTAATCATCGACTATCGATTTGCGTCGTGTATACCATTCACAACTTTTGCCGCTAGAGCATACACGATCAAACATATCTCGCTTCTTGTAACAAACCTAATCGGAAATATCAATGTGTCGACAATAAGAAGATTTTTATTCGATGTACGATAAATGTGCTGTAGACAACTAATCAGTCAACTTTTTTCTCTCTCGTAAATTTCGACTCTAGTGTGTACGTTGTTTTAAAATACAATCTGAAATGCAAACTAGTCAGTTTTTTTAACTTTTCTGTTTATTGACTTACCTGAGAAGAATGTTTCGTTCTTTTATCGCTTCTCATTTCTCTCTTTCAAATGTAAATAGTTCGGTGCGCCCCACATGTATTAAAATTAGTAATATAGTTAAGTAAAATTTATTACTTGAAGAATTTATTCTCCTTGTTGTTGGTAAATTCATACACACACATAGTAAATTATATATATATACATTTGAAAATGAATTCAATCAAAACATATTTAATCTGTCACCACTATCAATACAGAAGAAGATCTGACATTGTGGTTGATATTATCCAGATTTCAAAGACACAAAATGTTCTCTGTACGGTAAGATACGACTGATTGTATGATGAATGTTTATTTGTATTCGCATTATATTATTGTTGTTTCAGCCTTGAACATCAAGTTCAAAATTTTTTACATGAAACATCATCGAAGAATGCTTTATACAAAATTGAGACTAAGGACAGAGATGGTCTTTATCTTACTGTAAGATGTTCTAGACAATTTTCTTGTTATATACTTAAAATGAAATATTTTAATTATTAGAACTGTTGTTTTTTGGGTAATGTATTGGTCGAAGGCTTATACAAATATCGAAATAAACTCTATCTACATCCATACACATTATGGTCGAACGATATGAATGCAATTAATATAGATCATGGTGTGAAATTCAGTAATATCAATAACAGGTAGCATTTTTTATATTTGATTCATTTATCATAGGTCTATTTCTTATATTATTATATATTTTAGTATTCATACATCTAATTTATACTTACGTAATGCCTTCCTGACGATTATCAACCCTTATTGGCGATGTTCTTGTTTTGATATCAGTTATATTATTGTCAATTATACCATCAAAACTTCAAAAATAGAGTGATAAACGTCTTAAATGAACAGATGTACTGTTTTTATTCGATCTTCACCTAAAAGATATATTTGGATTTTCTATGCTCGCAAAAATGATTCCTGTTAAATGACTCAAGTTAAATAACGTTTCATTACTGTTATCATTGTTGTTAGGCACATCGTTGTGCCACAGACACATCATTGTTCTCTCGTGTTACATGTTGTTCGATTTCATTGTCAACTATCTGAAAACGAAAACGTATTATATTGTTTGAATACTATAATACTCAGTAGGATACATTACTATTACTCTTCTCAGCCATTCTAATGACAATTTTCCATTTTTGTTAGAATGGTATTTGTAACCGCGCAAATTTTAATATTGTACGAGGAAATATTATCGCAATCACCAACATTTAACTAAAATATATAAACACATTATTAGATAATCCAAGATGCCTGTTGTTAAAAACCGTGACAGGAAGACCTTCATCGAGGATCTTGCAAGTTTTTCAGGTAGTTTCTCGAAAGCCCTGAAAAACTAAGTTTTCCCTAACTGTGCCCATGTAGTCGTCGCGTTCGAAAAAACGCGTTTGAACCCTAGTTTTCGGAAAATGTTTGAGAAAAAACGCGTTTGATCGCTGTTCTGGGTGAATTCTGGTAAATCTACGTTTAAACGCGTTTTGTAAAAACCTGCGTTTAAATGCCCTCATTTGTGAGGAGCGTTTGAACGTTTTTTTTCATGAATTCTTGTTAAGCGTTTGAAGACGTTTCATTATTAAAGGCGTTTAAACGCCGAAGATATTTAATTCCGAACGCGTTTAATTTTTTGAACGCGTTTTAAGGTGTTTCGATTTGATTAGACGTTTGAACGCTGTTTTGGAAAAGGTTACAACAGCGTCTGAAAGCGTTCCTGTTATTAAACGTCTCGGCACGCTGTAGATATCTGATACTCCGAACGTATTCTAGGCGTCCTAATTTGAACAGACACCTGAACGCAGTTTTGAAAAAGGTTCAGACATCGTTCAAAACGGTTTATATTATTGAAGAGGTTGCATTTTTATTTTACTACTAACTCTCTCTAAATAAAATGAATACCTTACTTTTGAGACATACAAAAGCACAAGTCTTCAACTAACTGTTAAAAAAGTCTCATTTAAAATTTGGATGTAACTTAATTCGTGTGTTCATCTGTTTATGAAGAGTTAACATTAAAATAAAATGCTACTGTACGGCTAATTTCTTGATCTGGAAAGAGTTATTTTAGGAATATGAAGGGCTCGCTAAAAAAAGCTGCCGATATTTTTCAGTAGGTAACTGCTTGTTCTGTTCATGCGCATCATAATCGCAGTACTGGAGAAAATAAAAGCCCCTAGTGAATGTACTTGAATTCGTATAAGAAATAAAAGAAAATGACGTACTTCTTTAGTTATAGTCGTCAGAGAATTTCTCTTCTTTCTTTGGTTTCTAAACTCTTTCGGCCCATAGTACACAATATGACAGAAAGATATAGCAATCTTTGTCGAGCACCAATAACTCAATGGTACGTGTCTCGCTCTCTATTCTTTAGGTCTCATGTTCGAATCCGCCAGTCGCCGTCATGTCTTAAGTAATAATTGTTCTTGTTCTGAAGTTTTGATAAACGCGTTTAAACGCTTTTATCTTAAAAAACTCGAAACAAAAGGCGTTTGAACGGTGCAAATGTTTCATTTTTAAGTCGTTTAAACGCATTTGGATTTTGTTTATAAACGCATTTTTTAGAGTCGAAATTGTTACATGGGCGTGTGATTATAACAATATCGAGAGAAAACGTAGCTCTTAAGCAACTAAATTGTAGAGCAAACATTTCTGATCAAAATGAGACGTCTGCCAACTCTACCACTTGCAACATTCATTTGAGTTATCGAACGTTGAACATTAGCCGAAGTCAGTCCTGGTATTACCGCGCTTCTTTTATCTGTAGTATATCTGCAACAATAGAATATAAGCACAAAATTCATTTAAATTAGTACTCTTATGTGTCATTTACCTGAAAAGAAAACATGTATTTTCTAAATTCCATCCATTCAAAATGAATGTGGGTAACATCTACAATAGAAAAAAAAATTTATCATGATAATGTTTGTTCATGTTCTGTAGAACTTACAACTGGCTTTTGACAAACTTCTTCTATACCAATTTGTTTGTTATTGACATCAAAGTATGTCATACGAAGATACACTTTGTGGAAATCTAAAATTATCATCTTCATAAAAGTAGAGTTTATTATTTTCTAACAAAAGTATTATACCTATTAGTGGTGTATTTTCTTTCAAATGCATATCAATCGAATCATAATAATGTTCGATATCTTCTCTATTAAAATCTCTTAATGGCTTGAGGCTGAGATATAAAGTTAGTCGAATACTAAAATATATAATAATATAAGAAATAGACCTATGATAAATGAATCAAATATAAAAAATGCTACCTGTTATTGATATTACTGAATTTCACACCATGATCTATATTAATTGCATTCATATCGTTCGACCATAATGTGTATGGATGTAGATAGAGTTTATTTCGATATTTGTATAAGCCTTCGACCAATACATTACCCAAAAAACAACAGTTCTAATAATTAAAATATTTCATTTTAAGTATATAACAAGAAAATTGTCTAGAACATCTTACAGTAAGATAAAGACCATCTCTGTCCTTAGTCTCAATTTTGTATAAAGCATTCTTCGATGATGTTTTTCCATTATACACCAGTTTTATGGTGGTCAACGAGAATCGAACTCGGAAGGGTAATATAACTATTTTGTTTACTGATTCAGTATATATGTTTGTTTTTCTTAAGGACGTAACATTCAGTTAAATCTTAATCCAGATGATAATGATACATTTTGTCAACGACATGTCCGACTATATATATCAGCTGAAAGAAATGGACGTTTAATTTGTGAAAACATATCCTCTCCTATCAGAGATAGTAGTGCGTATACATCTTCTTTATTTAAAAAACAACACTAATCGGTTTCTTGTATTTTAGAAAATTTTCTTTTTCCTCAGATGATATTATTACCAGATAATAATGAATTAATTGCTGGACAAAATGCTTATATATGTACAAAAAAGCAATTAAAAAAAGCAAATTTGTATGTAAAATTTAAAAAGTTCTCTATATATTATTCTTTTACTTTTTTGTATTTTAGTTGGGGAACACACGATGCTCATTATGTTGTAGGCTTTTTGTTTGACTTTTAGAAATTTCATCAAAATTTCGATTTTCAATGCGAAGAGCTGCTTCTGGCGTAGTTCGATAGAGAACATTGAACTGTGTATATAGAAAACTTTTCATCATTCCGAAAGTAGTTTTCGCAGAAAAAATGAACTTCTATCTTTCCGAAGGGATTTTCGGACAGTATTTCGGAGCAGAAATATCGACGTGAAACCTGTCGGAGTCGAACTCTGTGGTCCCTCCGCAGAGATTTTTTCATGCTGAGTCTCGTGGCAATATTTGTTTTGAGAAAAAATTTTAAAAATCTACTGAAAAGCGAGTTTTACAAAAATTAGGGTTTTCAGGCGCTTTTCATCTAATATTGAAAACCTCACTCTTTGCTCAAAAAACATCAGAACGACTTCAAAAGTACACGATTAATGTTGTTCGCTAAACGGGATTATGAGACCACGGTTCGCGACCGCACTTCACGCTTCACTTTCATAACACTAAGCACACTAGCTGCTTAGCAGTACCATCTACTATCCTCGCGATGTTGTGCGATGTGATGCTCAACTCATTTATTTGTTTTTGATCTTTCTTTAAATTTAATTTTTTTGATTATTTGATAACTCAGTTTCAGTATCACACTCAGAGCTCAGAAGAAAGCCTTTCCCTCTACTGTCAGTGTGCTTTCAACTTGAGTGCTATGTTTATTGAAATTTAGTTAGGCTGGTGATCAGATTTGTGCTCGACGCTTCACGTAAGCGTACTTTCGAAAGTTGGTTTGGATGACTCAAAACTGCGCGGATCATAGCAGCGTACAGAAGAGAAAATCACCTGCTGGAAAATTCTCTCCAAAAACTTTGTCTCAAGACACAGTTTTTCAGACTTACTTTTGAAAGGACTGCTTCCCTTACTCGTTTTAGCCGCTCTCTTCATAACTTTTGTTTACAAAATAAGCACATTTTTTCATCTCACTTTACATTTGTTTTGTAATGCTCTATTTGTTGATTTCCTTTTTAAAGAAACTTATGTTATTGTTATTTTTAAATTCGCAAAAATTATTAGCAATGACATTATATCACCATTTACTATCGTTACTATGTGAAAAACAAAAAAAAAGTTGCTTACTGATTCATAGTTTACCCTTATTAAAGGTAAAGAAAAGAACAAAAAACATTATACTGTATTTATTATGAGAGAGAAGATGAAAAAGCGCTTCTGTGCGCTTGGAGCACAAAAAATAAGTGTAAAACGTTTGGAATGGAATAAACTACGGTATTTTTATCCAAATCGGACAGATAACATTGACAGCGTTCGAAAATGAAGGCTGTCATCTTTTTTGTATAACTGATGAGCGGAGGTCTGTGCTCATCTCATCTATTCATTTATGTTTAACGAGTGATGAAGATATAGTTCCATCTATATATCCAGAGGTGCCTGTGCTGTGGTGCGTTTTAGGCATGATGTCTCAGATAAAAAATGATGTGGTACATTTTTACTTTTGAAAGAAAACTGGATTTCTCTAGTATTCAACGAAATAACAAAAAGAAATAGAGCGAAAGAGGTAAAGGCAGTATTGCAAGACAGACCTTTGAGGAGTGGTTTCTTCTAAGATACGAGAGTAGGAAGGTACAGAACATAGAAACCAGTACTTAGTAGAAACCCTGCACAGTCAAATATTCTTTGATATCATTGATGATTGACAATAGTTTTTCTAACGTCAGAAACAATCGTAAATATCCATATTAACAACTTGCATTAGCTACATTGTGTTTGACTTAAGTTTTCGAGCACACAGTAAAAGAAATCAATATTATAACGAAGAAGGCTATCTTTTCCTTCTTGCTATTCTCTTCCTATTAGATTTTTTGAAGAAGAAACGTGGTCGGAAACTTTTTCGTTCTAAGTTAAGAACATACTAACGTCCAATTGTCTGTGAATTTAAATAGTCCTATAAACGTATAAAGAAAGGTTTTCAAAACTTATTCTTTTATGACAAGATGTAACAGAATCTTGACTTTCGATTAGTGAATACAGTCTGTTTCTACTGCTTTTCAATCAAAGTAATTTAAACAGCTAATTGAGATAATCTCTTTGATTCTTTTAACAATGGTACAGAACTGAAGAAGATAAGAGTTAAATCCTTAGATTTCAGTAATGCTTTTTGACAATAACTTCCACCAGATGGTCACACAAATAATTGCATAAAAGTGTGCTCATCTCCGTAATACCGGTCAGATCTAAGACAAAAAAATGTTGTCTTGCTTTATTCAAATTGAGTTTTCATCCAAGCATAAGGTAATAGAGAACATAAAGTACATTGTCTTCTGTTGGGAAATAAACGAAAAACTATTTTTATGTGGAAATTGCGGCATTTTATTCTCTTTTGTCGTTCTTTCATTCTGTTATTTAAAGATATACTGGTTTTCTTATTTACTTTTTTTATTGATTTGCTAAGTGTTTCTAATAGATAAAGTCGAGAGAACTTTTCAACCTAAACCACAACTTAAGTGCATTTTGTGAAGATCTGATTTCAAAATTGTTATACACCTGGTACTCTAATGGTTTGTCCAATGTCCATGATTTATGAAAGATCATCCTTCAAGGCAATACAACTAGTTGATTATGTTTGTAATCTATCGGCGCAGATGAATTGCTATGTGTTATCAGCAACAAGAAATACCTAACAAAAATAATGCAAAATTTATGCTTTAAAATAATATATTTTAATTTTCTCTAATAACCGTTTTTCAACAACGAATTTATAATATTCGATGGATTGATTGAATGTGATGAATGAAATTTCTCTTTCATTTAATCAATTAAAATTAGCCAGTTTTAATATTCAATAAAATGGCATTCGATTTCACTGAATTTGCTTTTTTTAGTAATAACGGCGTTATTGAATTTAATAGATTATATTGAAATATCATCTTGAACACAATATGGATATAAATAGTTTCGATCCTAACGCATAAAACAAATGAAAAAACACGCAGTCATTTCGACTTAAATTAACTTTAATGCTTACAATTGATTTAGCAAATGTACTAATTCATTATTTATTCACATCCGAGATTGGAACAAATAATGATCATAAATATTTGCTGAAACACAACAGTTGTAAAACAAGATTAAATTCGTTTTTTCTGTTTTATTGTTTCCTATCGAGTCATGTAACTGCTCAATTCTTATTTATTATTACTGTCTTTTGATAGTTCAGATTCATCTGTTAATAAGGCATCTGTAAGGTATTCAAATGAAACACTTTTATCAATAATTTAGTTATTTTATTATTATTAACAATTACAAGACTGACACGCACCGTTTAGAATTGTACTGACTTTTATGTTTGAGTATGGATGACGATTCTATATAATAAAACATTCACGGGGTCAAACTTGCAAACTTTGATGTGGATTTAGAAGTGGAACTCAAGATCATCGCCAATCAAAACAAAGCAGCATAATTGTATAAAGTGTTGATTATCCTTCGAGCGCAAACAGCTTTTTCACTATGGTATAATCCGAATGATTGTATCGATGTATATAACTCATTCCATGGTTGAAACAGACGCGGTGATGTGTCCTTCATATCATAAAGAAGACTTTTACCTGTAATCGAGTTATTAATACGAGATTTGTCCAATTCAATTTCCAATAGTTTCTCAATGATCATGCATGAAGAAAAAATGAGATCTATTGTTGTATTTACGCCATCCGTACATACGACTTGAGCATTAGTAACTTGATGCTCAATAGCAGGGAATAATATTGTAAATAAATATGCAGGAGGTAGCTAGTACGTACCGCATACATTCTAGATGTATGCATCTATCAGAAATTATGCCAAAGTTTATTCATAACACTGTCAACGAAATATTTGTTGCATTTCCAAGTAGCACTGACAACAGACTGTATCCACTCACATCAATCCCGTATTTCATCAGTAATCTTCGTCAGTAGATGATAGTTTCGTTTTTAACGACGATAGTCTAT